TAATTTGGTGTAGAAAGGATTTTTTGTAACCTAACTACTGCTCTGAAATAGAATCATTCCATACAGGCAAGAGGAACCATTGTGTGAGCCACTAAGATAAGGTTTCCTGGTGTCTGGACTCTAAACTTCAGTCATTGGTCAGTGATTATTCTGGGAGACATAGTGACATCATCAATGATGATGGTATTGTAGTACAGAAATAAAGCCATGTTAATTTCAAGGTCCATTAAAACTCTAGTTTTTTTTTTTTTTTTTAAATCAATATTTCCTGAACATAAATGGGAAAAAATTGGTAGGAGATGAAATTCTATTTCAAGCTTTTAAATCTAGGACCAGCAAGGGATGAAAATATTGACAAAAACTAAACAAAATAAAAAACCTTTCAGTATTTGATAATTTCCTTCAGAAATGCTAAGCACAAATGCAATTATTTAAGATAATTGTTGAAACCAACTGATGTCACAGGTATTGAATTTTGACAGAAAGTTAACTTTTGCCAATGGAAATATCTATCATAGAATCTGTAAGCAAATCAGGGGACGTTATTTCTGCTAGAGTAACCTACTATTTAGAGAAGAGAAAAAGGCTTTGGGAACCAGCAGTTAGCGTAATGGCTATGTCACTGGACTCCCACGTAGTCGACCGTGGTTCAAGTCCCAGACCTGGTGGCTTAAAACTCACGCCGAGCGCGTGTGCGTGCGTGCCCAAGATCCCGAGAGGAGAATGGAGGAGAAGGGATTGTGGCGTGACCATCCCCTCTGGGGGGTGATTTCTCGCTTTCTGTCTCTCTGTCTCTGTCTGTCTGGCGAGCGCACGCGCCCTATAGCGAAAACCTCTCCAAAAACAAAAATGCCGTCTGCCAGTCCACCTTGTTTGAGTTTGGCTGTTCTTCCCACAACAATCAAATACACCTTTTTGAATGAGTAGAAAAATCAATGATGGAGCCAGAAACAAACAAACAAACAAAAACAACTAAAAAAACCCTCTCAGTGCCCTAGAGGATTTGCATCTTTGTAATGAAAACTGATGTAAAATTCTTCCGAACAGTTTGAAGAGTACTTTATTGCATCTTCTAGTTTGTTGGTTATTGGAGGTTTTTCTTGTGTGCGGGTAAGTAACACAGCAGTATGAGGTTGTGCGCACAATTGTGTGTTATTTTTCTCAGGCAGAACACTCGGCCATGGATGTCCTTGGAAAAACAACTAAAAAAACCCTCTCAGTGCCCTAGAGGATTTGCATCTTTGTAATGAAAACTGATGTAAAATTCTTCCGAACAGTTTGAAGAGTACTTTATTGCATCTTCTAGTTTGTTGGTTATTGGAGGTTTTTCTTGTGTGCGGGTAAGTAACACAGCAGTATGAGGTTGTGCGCACAATTGTGTGTTATTTTTCTCAGGCAGAACACTCGGCCATGGATGTCCTTGGATACATAGTTGTCTCTAAAGAGCTATTGGACCCACAAATGGACTAATTCTCTCCCTGATAGAGGCCGCTCCACCTCACCCCTCAGAAACCACTAAGTGCGCAATCAGGACCCAGTCATGTATCTGTGTTGGCAAAGAAGGAAAACATTCATTCACACAGAATTGAGTTGCGATTCAAAACGCCCCCTTTAAAACCAGAACAAACAAAAGACAACAACAAAACAACTCTTCCGCATCATCCAGGTTTCCTTCCTTTTGGGGGCAGAAGCAAGGTACACTCACTTAAATAAATCTAAAAGCCAATTTGGGAATTTAATAGTTTCAATAACGAATGTTTATTCTAAATGTGAGTCCTTAAAGGAATACCACTAGTGGCCACATTGTATCAATGAAAAGAAGCAATAACAGTGGCACACAACTCTCCACCTCCCCTCATTGGTAATCTCTCATCAGAAACTTGTCTGCTTCATCCAAACCGTCCTACCACTTCAAAAACTGGATCATATTTGTGCCCAAAGAGAGACTCAGTTCCATGTAGTTCGCCTCCAGAACACTGAAACCAAGATTCAGTTTCACATTACATCAAGCTGAGAAATGGCACTGCCATGTCTTTGGGGTACATTTTCTTCCCTTTGTTTTGGCAAAGATTTCTTGTTGCCATGTGTTGTGGGAAGTCCCTGTGGGCCTAATGAATTCAGGCTGAGCTGGCCCATGTACTCAGGCTTTGGGAGACCTGGTTTCACTAGCTGCTCTTGTCTTTCTTTCATAAAGTGCCCCCAGCCAAGATGAGAATTCCTTCAACAGCTTAGGGGTAAGCCCTGGCTTTCTTTTTTTCTCAAAGAGATGCCAGTTCCAGACCCACAATCATTACTGGCATGAGATCTGGTAGACATGGGCTGGATCTCCTCTTTGAATCATCTCTGCCTTTTTTACCTGTGTCAGTTTTGCTTTCCTCTTTGACTGATCATTCCCATCTCCAAGTTCAGAGGCAGATGCCCAGATTCCTCTGTGTCTGTTTCAGTTGTCATTGCCTCTTTCCATAGCATTTGCATAGGTCAGAATGCGAAACCTTTAGCGAGTTGCCCACACATCTTTTCAATCAGAAGAATTTGATTTGGTTTGCTTTGGAATTTTGCGTTTGTCACCAACGGTTTCAACAGCTGAGCGTCTGAGGCGAGACTGGGCTCCGTCAGCCCTGATGTTGGGAATGGCTGGCGACAACATGCAGGAGATAGACTACACTAATTGATACAAGCCCTTTCCAACTCCTGCACCACTGAGGAGAGAGAAGCCCTTCTGCTTTCTTCTGTTTCCTATAAGGCTTGCCTTAGAAATTTGGGGGGAGGGAAATTTTAGCAATGCTTAGATTTTGAAGAGCAGATGTTTTTGAACAATTCCCTCCAAATGGTAATCCTGAACTTTGATAATTAGGTACAGATGATAAGATTCGAACTAAGAAACCAGTATATTTTGCTACCCTTGAATTTCAGTGAGGCCTAATCCTTGCATTTCTCTATATTTGGATTGTTTCTGAAGTCAGTGGGGCACCAGAAGCAAGGGGGAAAAGACCAAAAGATAAAAAGAAAAGACCAATTTTCAAAGCTGATCTATGCCTGTGTCTATGGGACCCAAACCAAAGTTTGGAAAGAAAATAAGTGGTGTGTGTGGGCGTGGATGGGATTTTCCTAATCTGGGAAACTGGTTCAGGCCCATGAAACATTTCATCAAGATTCTAATGTGAAACCGATGTGCTCATCAATATTTATAAGTAGTTCTCTGACCAAATCCTCCCAACTGGCTTTCAGTCCCTCCCTTCTCTTACTGGTATAGTCAAATAATATGTTAAAACAGTGGAGCCAAATAATACAGTACATCTTAGGAGCATTTTCTTTCTTTCTTTCTTTTTTAATGTAAATATTCTATCTTAATTTTAGCTATTTATCGTTCACTTAAAAGATGTCCCTTCCTCCCTACAAATCTGGAAACATTTACCAGGTACCTACGTACAATTCATGCTGCATTCTGTCCTTGTTCTCTATCTCTCATTCTCATTCTCTATCTCTCACGTACATGAAATTCATGAGAAGGAAAATGGGAAGAGGCAGAGACTGCTAAGTTCCATGACCCTTCTATAACATCACAACCATCCTGCAAAGTGGATGCGATGATGGTGGTCATGATTTTACAGAGAGGAGACAGAGGTTACAGGAACATCAACAACTCTCCTAATAACAGGACAACCCACCTTTTGACTTAGGCTGGGAGATGTGAATGCCCTCCTTTTAACCTCAGGCTTTCTGCTAGCTATTGGCAAGACTGTGGTAGTCTTGGGTAGCTCAGCATGCCTCAAGCGCAAGAAGCACTCCCTTTTACTGTCTTCCAGGTCATGAGGCTAGAAACCCCTGAAGATCAGTAGGAACTTCTCACATAGCTCAGTGATAGAAAGCTATTGAGGGATCTTCCCTGGAGATCATATGTCCCCAGAGTACAGTAGGGCCTGAGTGGTATTTATGCCTGGATATCTCCTATCTTTTCCAGAAATAAGGAGGCATTGAGAAAACAGAAGCTGAATAGAAATGGATTGATGGAGAGGAGCAAAGGAGACAGGCAGGCAGTCTCGTGTCCTTCCCAGGGCCCTGGGCAATGCTAAGTTGGGGCCCAGATTACCTGTGGCTCAGGTGCCCTTGGAGAGAGGACTGCTTGCAGCATGAAGAGGAGTCAGGAGTCAGATGTCTGTGTTCTGAACATGTTTCTAGGAATGAACTGCATTCTTAGGAGTGGCTGCCTTTGCCTTGTTTTATAACATTTCCATGATCTCAGAACTTCTCATCTTGATTTTATAAACCTAGTGGGGGGAAAAAGCCCAGCCAAACCTGAGGCTCATTACTCATAGAAACTAATTTTTAAATACACAATTCTAGCATAAATTTACATATAAAGAAGGATCTTGGTTGGAAAAAAAATCCTGTTATCATAACATTGTGGTTGTCATACAAAACCACAGGAGGCACATATGCAAAAGTTATGGTTGCTCAGCAACCATAATTGCCCAGTTTAATGCCTAAGCAGATAGACTGATGGTTGGAATAAAGTGTAGGGCAGATCCCACGTCTCCTACCACCAGAGTGGATAGGGGGGTGCTCCGCGAGGGAAGATCCCACGTCTCCTACCACCAGAGTGGATAGGTGATTGCTCAGCCCTCCCAGACAACACACAAGGAGGATAATTATTAAACAGATGAAAATATATTCTGCACTCTTCAACTCTGCACTGCAGTTGTAAGGTTTATTTATGCCCCAAATAGGAATGTTTCCATCTTGCCTACCCTTGTTATGATACATTTGTGAACTTTGCGGAATTAGTGGCACATAATACCTGTGAAGTGCTACACTCTAGGGTGCAGGACAGGGGATTGGGCCTCACAGACAAGCCACCACAGTGTGCATTGTCACATCCCTGGCAGAAGATCCCAAGAAGTTCCCTGGGACAATGTGACCAGGGTGAGGCAAGGAGAATGGCCTTCATTATCATTTGGAGACCAGCTCTGGGAAGAAGAAATTAGTAAAGCTAGCAGGTGATGTCAGGAGGAAAAACAAGAAGCCCAATCTTTTTACATTAGTCTTCCCTAAATGCTCTTTCACTCAAGGTTCTTCAATGGTTCCTTTTGGTCTTGGAGATAAAAATCTGAACAACGTTCAGTAGTTTGATCATTTATTCCTGAAATGAGGCTCTATGTGACAAGTGGCAAGTGGTTAATATTAATGAGCACATGCTTCCCCATCGATGTGATAAACTTACCTTGTTCTCTGAGGATGTAGGCTCTTCAAGGAAGATGCCAAAATAACCCCTGTATTACCCGGCAATGTGAGAAGCTCATGCTGGTCTCTGAGGATTTCAAGCCCCCATGCTCTGAAACAAAGAGAGAGGGAGTTTGTTCCATGCACTCCAGGCGGGCTGATCCATCCAAGACCACCAAGGTCCCGGTGTGAACTGGCAGGAGTCCTGGGGTTAAGGTAGCGCTCATGTCCAATCTGGCTCTGCCCATTAGTAGACGAGTTACCAATACTCTCCTAACCTCCTTCTCCTTATCTATTTTTGACCATTTCTTAATACATATCAAGCATAGCATGCACAGAATCAGAAAAATAAAAGCCTTTGTTTCAATATGTTTATGTACAAACTAGTACATCTCCTCACCTTATTAGTGAAGAACACAGTAAAGTTTCATTTTTAATTCCAACCTTGGATTTCTGAAGGGTTTCCCCAAAAGGAGTGCCACAAAAGACAGATGGCTTCATCTTGGAGAATATTAATCAGCAGCAACACCACTCTCTGTCTTCTCTGTGGCTGGCACTTGTGACCCAGTGGTGTGTCTGTGTTCCTTATGACATTTATTCACCTCCACCTTCTTTTGTCTCAGAGAATGTTCCCCCCTGGGGAGGGATGGAAACTGTGGACTTTATTTCAGCCTTATAAATGCAGTGGAATTAGAAGAAAGAAAATGAGTTGTGCAAATCGATTCATCAAGGTGCAAAGTAACTGCACTGTTTTCTAATGGGTCAAGGTGAATGTAGAGTTTTGTAGGAAACTACCACCATTCTTGCCATGTACCCCTCGTCTAATAAATAGGTTGTATTTGGGGATGGGTGGGGGGCTCTTTAGAAGGTATGACTTGGAAAGGAATTAGTAGAGCATATATATACACCAATAATTGTCTTGTCTAAGTAATGGAAACTTTACTGCTAAGGCAGACTCATCTGAAAGTCAAACCCAATCTCTGGTTGGCTGCCTATTAGAAAGGAAGAATTAATGTGTAGCAACTACCTGGAAAGGACTTCAGTATTCTTAGGTTGAATGATTTGCTCCTTTCTTGGTTTTACTAAAACACTCTGCACATGTTTATTATATTAAACCACATTGAACTCTGTACTCATGCTTAAGTACTTACGTGTGAACCTCAGTCTGATGTAGAATGTGAATAAACTGAAGACCAAACTTAAAGGTCTGCTTCTGTGACAAATACCTGAATTACGACTAGTCACGGCAGTCATGCTTCAGTCAATCATGGATGGCCATCCGATTAAACTCTGTTCAAATACACAAATGCTAAGCTATAACCAATCCAGCTGTTTCTCTACATTTCTCTTTTCTATATGCCACTTTCCTTTTGCTGCTCGTAAGTGTTATTTGACCACATGGCAGTCCAGGAGTTACTCAGGACCAGTTCTGGATTTCTCATTTGTGATTTTACTTTTCTTAATTAAACATGACAAAATTAACTTTGTGTAAAGTTTTTCTTTTAACATTTATATAGAGTCTATTACACTGTATTTTCAAATGGCTGCTTTTCTAGGCCTAAAGCGTCAAATTTTATAAAGTAAAAAAGTGAAATGAAATAAATTAAAATTACCCAGTATCATACTTCCACTATTTAGTGATAGACACTGTAAACACAGTCATACTTGCTTATACAATCCTAATATTACACTTTTAAATTGATCTCTCTTTCATTGCACAGTAAACAGTAAACTTTTTTTTAAGTTTATTTAATAATTTCTTTTTTTTTTGGAAAGGTTTTTGCTATAGGGTGCGTTCGCTCGCTAGAAAGACAGAGAGAGGCAGAAAGTGAAAAATCCTCCCTCGGGGGATGGCCACACCCCAATCCCTTCTCCTCCATTCTCCTCTTGGGATCTTGGGCATGCACACACACACACCTGACGTGAGTTTAAGACACTAGATCTGGGGCTTGAACCGTGGTTGACTACATGGGAACACAGTGACATAGCCATTATGTCAACTGCTGGTCCCATGTTTATTTAATAATTTCTTGTGCACAGATGAGAGAAAGATGAGAGAAAGATAAACACCTTCAACATAGTCTCCTGCCATAGCCCTCATCTCCTTATCCTCCTTTCCCAACCAGCTGTTTCTAGCCAACCAGGATCACAGGGCCCATACACGTGGGAATCAATCCCTGATCTTCCACATGTTTTCCAGCATTACAGAGAATTGTAATACTCCTGCACCCCAGAAGCCATCACAGAGTCACTTTTTTTTTTTAGAGATATTTTTTGCTATAGAACTTGTATGCTCACCAGAGAGACAGAATGATGGAAAGTGAGAAATCACCCCTCAGGGGGACTGTCCATGCTGCCATTTCTTCTCCTCCATTCTCCTCTTGGGATTTTGGGCACACATGCACAAATGCACCCAGTGTGAGTTTTAAGCCACTGGGTCCAGAACTCAAACAGTGGGCAACTACGAGGGAGTCCAGTGATGTAACCATTATGCCATCTGTTGGTCCCAACAGTCAACTCTTTTATGGTATAGACCTTGTTTGTGTGTAGATGCTCAATAAATACTATGCTAAAGGAATCATATTTAACATAAATATTATGTTGAAGGAATGAGTGAAGATGCCCATTAATTTTTATCAGTGATCCTCACTATTTCAGCTAAGGTTTTTAGTAATTCAGCTTTAGAAGATGCACATAACTACTATGTTGACCCAAAATCCTACATTGAAATGCTTCTCATAACTGGAGTGATAAGTATTATCTAAATAGTGTGTGCTTAGCTCACTGGACACATTACTTTCCTTCTTTTATGTCAAAGAAGCTTAGTATGCAGCCCAAGTTGAAGTCTACTTATCAGTGCTGCTGTGTCACCCAATGGAATGGTTACATTTATTATGAAAACATTGTTCAACTTTATCACAAGTTAAAATTCATGTACATTCTGCCGAGAGGGTGCAGGCAGAAAAGCGTACGATTTCCCCTATCACAACTTTCTTACTAGGTAGGACTGTATTTTGATAACTGCACATTTTAAGTATTGTCCTTGGGCCTGTGAATTTGAGTTTCTCAAATTTATTCTGGGAATGAGATGGAATACAAATAAAGATATACATTACCATCTTAGCTCCACGTTGATGACAGATGCTACAAAACTGTTAGTCTAAGATGCTCTTAGTTATATGTAGTGTGTGTGTGTATGTGTGTGTGTGTGTGGGGGGGGGACAAATATATGTGATTGATTTAGTTAATCCCACAGTAGTTGATCTCAATGTTCATATTTAGTATCTCTCTTTTTATTTTATTATGTTTTGGAGAGATTTTTGCTATAGGGCCAGTGCACTCACTGGAAAGGCAGAGAGACAGAAAGTGAGAAGTCATCTACCAGGCAGGATGGCCATGCCACAATCCTTTCTCTTTCATTCTCCTCTCAGGATTTTGGGCATGCATGCACATGCACCCAGCATGAGTTTTAAGCTCTCCGGTCCAGGGACCAGCAGTTAATGTAATGGCTATGTCGCTGGACTACCATGTGGTCGACCGTGGTTCAAGTCCCGGACCCGTGGGCTTAAACTCACACTGGGTGCATACGTGTGATCCCGAGAGGAGAATGGAGGAGAAGGGATTGTGGTATGGCCATCCTCCCCGGGTGGTGATTTCTCGCTTTCTGTCTCTCTGTCTCTGTCTTCCTGGAGAGTGCACATGCCCTATAGCAAAAATGAACAAACAAACAAACAAAAAAAGAAAAAAAAAAAAGAAAAAAAAACAAAAACAAAAAACAAATCTTTAAAAAAAGTCAAAAAACCATCGGGTCCGGGACTTAAATTGCGGTTTACTTAAATTGCGTGGGAGTCCAGCAACGTAACCATTATACCATCTGTTGGTCCCTCATATCTCCTTTCAAAATCAGCATTCATTGTAGAGATAGAAATGATCCCAAGCACTTTTTCACTATAAAACTATATGCCCTTGGAGTAATGGCGATTTCCTGGAATTCTCTAATATCCTGGGTAATAGACTTTTTTTTTTTTTTTTTCTATCCACCTGCCCCAGGCCATTTTTAAGGTTACTAGGGCTCACTTTCCTTTTTTTCTTGTCCCCTTTCTGATTCTTTCTTCTGGTCAGTTTCTGAGGTTTACCTGCTTCGGTCCAAGGCTGAAGGAGTAGGTGGATATCAGTCTTCTATCTGGGAAGCTGGACTACCTGTCTTTATGCTCAGGCTGGCACTAGAAGCGCTCTTGTATCTGCTCTGCCTCATTATTGTGAATTTGCATCCTAGAGATTCCAACTTGCAGAACCCTTACACACCAGCCAGAAACTTGATTTTTTTCAGAAGAGAAAGTATGAGCCCATTGGTTCACTCATAAATATCTACTGAGTGTACACTATTCCCTAAGACAAGTGCCAAAATCCACCTGGATAAATTAAATGAAACAGTTTGTGCGGCAGGAGTTACAAGGTTTTATCTGTTTGCTAAGGTCAATTCTGGAGCCTGTCACAAATATCCAATTTTGCACAAGTGAGTTTACCTTCCTTCATTTTCACAGGCAGTATTTGTGTCTATGAAGATTTGTCCAGGTTTGTCCATCCCTACAAAAGATCATTTCTCCATTATTTTGCTTATGAATGTGTTCCTGATTGTCTTAGTCTCCAAGGCCAGTTGTCTGGAGAAATAACATCGTATTTCCTTGTGGACAATATGTATAAGTCATACTCAGGCAAGAGATGCGTCGTTTAAATACATGTTCTCTTTTCTGAGTTTTACGTTTTCATGTTGCTTTTGCAAAATACAAGAAGAACTGGGAGGTAGGTATAAAGTCTGCAGGTTGCATCAAATCCAAATACATCCAGCAGCTATGGTTCAAAGCGAAGACGATCTGGGTTGGGAAAGAAAATAAAAGGAAACTTATGAGATAATGCTCGAGACAGATCATCAATAGTATGTGGAAAGGCCACTTCATTTGATCAGCTGGGCTGTTTGGAGCAGAATTTTGATTAAAGAAGACATTCCGGGCAGGGCTGGTGCGGACAGGCCGTCTGCACAACACATTGCTCAAAATGAATAAATGTGAGTTTCAGTGTCTGAGGCTGGGAACGAAGTGGAGCTGTCAGAGAAAACGAAAGTGGTGTTTTCTCCCTGTTAGGCCAGCTCACTGGTGCGTCTGGACTAGCATACCTGAAGTTCTCAATAGAGCTCATAAATCCAAGGAGAAAACAGAAAGGTTCTGACTGATTGTATGGCATGGGAAAGCTGGCATCAGAGAATGAGGCTGCTATCCTTCTCCAGCCCTGGGCTGGGGGCTGAGGCTCTTCCTAGGTACCGGACCCTAGGTGTGCAATGGCAGTGGGCTGGCTGTCCTCTTCAGACTGCTCCACTTCCCATTGATCCCCAATCAGACAACTGAAGAACTTCAATGGAACACATGTTTGTGGATACCTGAGTCAGGAAAAAAATAGCGACTTTTGATATTATGATATAGATACTTCTAGAAAAAATGTATTCTGACGTTTGTATAGGAAATAACAGATGGCAGACTCCTTTCTCGCTTTGACATACTAGTCTCTGGATAGTGGAAGCGGCATGAGTCTAGGACTTGACACAGGTATGCACTGAGTCAAGGTTACTAGTGATGAAGACTTCTTCATTTCTCTGCCTCTTACTTCAACCTGCTATCTCCTGTTGCTTCTCCCCCTCTCCCCAGCCCCCAGGGGTTTCTCTTGCTTCTTATTGTCTTCTCCAGGAAGGTGCATATTTCAAGAACTACCTAAAGAGATATACCAAGGAACCAGTAGGTAGTGTGGTGGTTAAAGGTGCTGGATTCCCACATGGCTGATCATTGTTCAAGTCTCAGACCCGGTGGCTTGCATTCTCACTTTCCCTCTCTCTCTTTCTCTGTATATCTCTGATCAAACTGGAAGAAAAATAGTAATGAATAAAGTTAAAAAAATATTTTTAAAAAATCTAAAGAGAGTAGTTTTAAAGCGATATACTGAAAAATCTCAGGTTTTGAGCGTCACTATTGTAACTGCCTGCCTAGCCTGCCTTAGCCACATGCTGGATTGAGGGCTTGGACTGTGACTTTTTTTAAGAGCATTGCATACCCCAACAAATGTAGTTCAGCTGGGGAGGGTTTGGATGGCTTGCATCTGATGTAGCGGGGCAGCACATAATCATCCCTACAGTCTTTCCGATTTATAGCATGTTGTGTTTTGGTGGGCAGTTTGGCTGAACTACTAAGTCACTGCTGTAATTGGGCAGTTTCTCAGTGACTGGGTACAGTTGTGTTGAGGTCTGGTTCAGGGTGGGGCAATGCCTTTTCATGTCTTTGACTCACATCATGTCTTGTCCCGAGCCAGTCTTGACCTTTCTTTACTCTCCACAATTCCTATCAAGACTTGACTGATCTCCATTTCTTTCTCTCTGGACATTGCTGCATGATAAATAAAGAATCTGGGACTAATTTGTGTGCTAGAGGGATCAAAGGTCATTACCTTGTTCTCTCCAGGTTTGCTGCTGCATTTTATGTAGAACTTGCAAGAGAGTCACCTCAAGGGGGAAGGGACTGTGGAACTTTCTAGATATGTCTACTATGGTTTCAGAGCACCCTCAGAATGGCACGGCTAGGCCTGGCCAGGGATCTGTAAATGCCAGAACTTACAAGGAAGTGGCAAGGCAGGTTTTAGTTCATTTGGGCCCTCAATGTTTTTGGCCCTGTCTCTGACCCAGGAACTCCACTTCATGTTTCAGAGCAGGTATTCAATAAGAACTCGCTGGTGGAAGATTTTTCTTTGGATGCCTTTCTAAAGGGCTGGGCGCATGTGTAGATTATTGCTAAAATGAGTCTTAGGGCAGTCTTCTGGCTTGCAGCATCCTGCATGTGTGAGCTCCTGCTTGCTGCAGTGGCCCCCTGTGTCCCTTTTATCAGCTCCCCGACTCACCTACCACCAACAGCACCCTCTGGGGAGGGGGTTTGCTAATGAATGCTAACACAGGCCAGCTGGAACCCATGGGGGCACCACTAGGAATGTTCCTCAAAGTACAATTTGGGGCACGCCACAACTGCAGTGTCCAGGCAACAAACTGACCCCAGTGGGGTCACTGTGAAAGAAGGCAAGAGGCAGCTACTTCTGGGGCCAGGCAGAGAAATTAGGACAATTTATTATTTCCCTGTTGCACTGGGTAAATAGACTTCAAGATAAATTATTGGTGCCTGCAGCCTGCATGGTGCAAAACCCTTAAGTGAAAGCAGACTTGAATGAACATATGCCGGCCTGCCCTCGCCTTCTCACTTCAAGTCTGCTATTAGCTTTCTATGCACTCGGGAACCTTTGGCTCTTGGCCTAAATAATAGAAGAATAATTAGAATAATTACTGGAGAAGGCCAGGTCAAATATCCAAGGATCTTCTCTTAACTACTTAATTATCTTTATTTTGTTTTACTTTTTGTAGAAATTCTTAAAACAAATGGCTACATTACATTTAAATCTTTATTTTATATAAAACAAAGCAATTGCTTTGTATGACGAGGAGCCAGTCATATTTATTAATGACTTCTGTGATATTTGAGTGTTCATGAAACTACCATGTCAATTTTTACTTTCCTTTTTGCTTCTCCTAAGAAGGTTTCCATAGGGTTGGCCTGGAAGATTGAGTTTAGAGTCATCCAATTCACCTGATTTCATGAGGGCATTGAGACTTTAGCCACTTTCTTTGTCCTTCATTAACTTGGTTTTAAAAGGATGAGGCAAGAAAACAACTCCACATGGAGGTTCCCTTGTTGAGCTGATGTCCTGTGGCAGGTGGACCATGGACAAGGATTCTCAGTGAGGAAGTCATTGCAATCTCACCTCATCCTGGCGTCAGCCTCTCTAGAGTAAGACATGTTCCCCTAAACACACATCACTTACTGATTTCAGCGAAGTTTCTTAATCTTCACCAAAGCTTCTAATGTTTCAGTTCCAGCTTCTCTACCCAATAACCACATGACTGTACAGGTTGGAGCCAGGTCATGGCTGAGTGAAGATTGGGATTGAATCTCAGCTCCAGATTTGTTATTCTGATACTTGGAGAACATTGGCATCTCTCAATCATGTTGGTGACTCCATTTCTTTGTCTGTTAAATGAGGATAATAATATGATGCACTTCATGCAGGGTTTACAGGAGCTGATACATTTAGTGGAATACCTAATACAGAATAAAGAGTGGTTTCACATAAGTGTATTGTTTTTATGCCATCGCTACATATCACAGCTGTTAAATGAGACAAAACAAGACAAGAAAAAGGCAAAGGATATTCTTATGCCCCACCTGGGCAATATTCTTGTCTCTTGCTGTTCCCCAACTGCCAATGCATGCCCAAGCTCCTGATCTTAGCTATCGGGTCACTGTAAAAGTCATGATGCATTTTTGCATAGGAAAGTACATCACGACTTTTCTGATGACCCAATATTTCTTTTCAGCCCTAGTATAAATTCTTGAGCATAACTCTATTGATAATGGATATAGTGGGAAGAGAATGACTTAAAATGTATTTTTCTCCTTTAAAATATAAAACAAGACAGACTGATCTACTAAAAACAGTCATGTGAAGACTAACGTTATATGGAATCAACAAGTACTGTGGTATACATTTGTGCCTTCGGAAGATGCCCTAGGTCCCATGCTCTTACCCTCAAGGAGATAGGTCATAGAGGAGAGGCAGGAACTGTAGGAAAACTATGTCCACTTTCAAACATGCCTAGGTGGAAGGGCAGGAGCTTGTAGAACCCAGCATGAATGAAAAGTTCCAGAAGTCTGTTAAATGAGGATAATAATATGATGCACTTCATGCAGGGTTTACAGGAGCTGATACATTTAGTGGAATACCTAATACAGAATAAAGAGTGGTTTCACATAAGTGTATTGTTTTTATGCCATCGCTACATATCACAGCTGTTAAATGAGACAAAACAAGACAAGAAAAAGGCAAAGGATATTCTTATGCCCCACCTGGGCAATATTCTTGTCTCTTGCTGTTCCCCAACTGCCAATGCATGCCCAAGCTCCTGATCTTAGCTATCGGGTCACTGTAAAAGTCATGATGCATTTTTGCATAGGAAAGTACATCACGACTTTTCTGATGACCCAATATTTCTTTTCAGCCCTAGTATAAATTCTTGAGCATAACTCTATTGATAATGGATATAGTGGGAAGAGAATGACTTAAAATGTATTTTTCTCCTTTAAAATATAAAACAAGACAGACTGATCTACTAAAAACAGTCATGTGAAGACTAACGTTATATGGAATCAACAAGTACTGTGGTATACATTTGTGCCTTCGGAAGATGCCCTAGGTCCCATGCTCTTACCCTCAAGGAGATAGGTCATAGAGGAGAGGCAGGAACTGTAGGAAAACTATGTCCACTTTCAAACATGCCTAGGTGGAAGGGCAGGAGCTTGTAGAACCCAGCATGAATGAAAAGTTCCAGAATGTTTAGTGTTCTCTGTATACCTTACCTGCCACTATGTTGGCATTGCTTGGCCCCCTAGACCTGTGGTTGAGGGCTGTCCTGTAGCAAAGGGGCTCAAAGTGGCTCCTGTTATGATGCCTGGGTTTCAGGAGAACAGTTATCCCTGCAGATAGAGGTTCCCCAGGGCTGGGCGCCCTAGGGATGGGAGTGATTCTTGCTGAGGGCTTCCTGCCAATGCCTAAGTGTTGTCTAGAATGACACTCTGGCGCTCCTGCATATCCAGGGGCAAGTGATGGCAGATACAACCTGCTTTAACACAGCCAGGCAGCCATCCAGCATGTCACTGTGGTTTTTAAATATTCCTCCTCCTCATTTTTCAATAATTAGTAATATGCATCAATAATGCCAAGCTTCAAACTTGAATCTACTATAAACTTGACAGACTCCCACAGTCTCTCTGTAGAGTTTGTTTCTACTCTGAAAACACCAGGGACTCCGGCAAAGCCCTGTTCCCAGGAAAGCGTTGCCTTAACAGTACGGTGGGCACATCAGCACATAGGCTTGGTTTCTTGGATCTTGTGGCATGGCGAGAGCAGGCAAAACAGCTGAAATTGCTCTCCCCATCGCCGCAGAAGGGCTGCATCCTCATGTGTTGCCAAGACACCGATTAGTTTTCAAGGTTAATAAAATTATGGGCTTCGAGTCTGAAATCTTCATGTACAGTTTTCCCCAAATTCTTTTTCAAGACCTGCTTACTCATGCAGATGGCACTCGAACTCCAGAATCGTGGCATATAAACCATCCCTGCACATCCCGTGTTTGAGAGATTCCTAAATGAGAACTTATTATCAACCTGTCATTCTTCCGTAATTATCCACAGCCGGGACGCTTTCCGTTGTTTCCATATCATTTGGAATGACATAGAGTAGATATTACCCTTGTCTGTGTATCGCGCACAGCAAGCTTTGCAGCGAGCGCTCATCCATTTGCATTTCGAAAGAGGCAGAGGCCTGACAGAGATTTTTTTGAGCTATTATGAAGCACTTATTAGTAGAAATTGAACCAATCCATTCCCCCCCTCATCATTTCCTTCCTCATAATCATTATTTCTACAAATTCTCTGCACCTTCCAAAAATTCTAGGGCATGCTGTCTAAAAAGATCACCTGCCTCTGAAAGCATTATTCATTTGGGTTAATATAGCTCCAAATGCTAATGGTTCCTTCCTTAATATTTTCCAGAGACCATGCAGGGATCGGCTGGAGAGAAAATCACTCTATGTGTTGCTAAAATGTATGTGCCCACATGTGTATATATTTGTGTATGTATGTGGCACATAAAATATAAGAAACTGTGTGTATGAATTCTCACACAAAAGAAACACTATTTAGTTGTGTGCATAAACATGTGTGTGTGTGTATACACATGCATGTGTGCATATATATGCAAGAACGTCTGTATGTATAGGTATATATATGTGCTTGTGTTTTAAACAATGAACCAGTAAGTGGGGAAGGCCTATTTCTCCTTCTGTGTTTAAATGAACCTTGTAAAGAAATTGTATATTAAAAAGCTCAATTGTGAGAGCAGAGGAAATGTAGAGTTTGCATTGTTCTCAGCTTCTCTGTATTAAAGCCCTTGCTTTTATAATTAGTGATTTTGGTGCTGTTTAAAAATATCTCAGTGTCAGCTGGAGAATCAGATTCTCTACTTATTCTCAGAACAGGGACAGCACAAAGAGCAGCTTTTTAAATTTCACTTCCCCACCCCCTCCTTTTGACGGTCTCCTTTCCTTCTTGACTTTCCACTTACTCAGCTTTCCTGCCTCTCCCATGTTCCCTGAGTCCCATCTCCTCTTTGCAGACACACAGCTGTCTCCATGCTCACCTCGGCAGGCCCAGGTCCAGCTGCCTATCAGATAGCCTTTGTGTGTGTGTTTCCAGGGCCCTGTGCTGTCCCTTCTCAAAGTGGCAAGGGTTGGTCTCATGTCATTTTGAGGCCCAGGGACAGCTACAAGATCTTGTGATTTCTATTTTCAGGATAAACCTGGCCCAGGGTCTGTAGTGCTGCAGCCTTCTCCCCACACCCAGAGCAGGCCTTTGCTCTGCCCAGCTCTGGAATTTTCCCCCTGCATGGGGACAACTCCCACCTTGATGCTGCCACACTTGGTATACCCTACTTTCCATTCCAGGCCTTGAGGAAGTCTCACCTACCCCCTCCTGTCCTGCTGTTTCCTCGTTTGAGGACAGTGTAGATGGCAGAGGCTTTTTGCATGGTATTGGTGCCTGGCTTCACCTCCTGCTGGCCCCCCAGCAGGGCAACTGTGACCATTTCCCAATGGAAAAAAGTTGCTGGCAGTACAGGGCCTCCTTCCCAGCGATGCTCTGGGGAACTTCCCATGGAATGTGGAATTAAATTTGAGTATCATCGTTATTATCAATTTTTATTTATTACATGCCCACCAGTGGCCCTGGTATGCTCTGGGTTTAATGTTTCAATAAGACCTTATTTGTGCAGTTCCCACCAGGGTCCCGAATTTCAGTGCTTGTTCAAATCACCTTCTATGTGATGCTTTAGTGATTTTTAGATTCTTGAATTAAACCTTCCTTGTCTCTCATTTTCCTGTGTCTTTATACTTCTCCTGTAAGTGCTCTGATTATCTTTTTATCTTCTTATATAATGTTCAAAAGTTCTGGTCTTTCTTCTTTTATACTTTTTTCTTTTTGTCCTTTCCATTCCTCCTGCTGGCAAATTAAATTCAGTCTTTCATCCCAGGTGAACCTTGTGGCTGAGGATTTGTCTCCATTTCTTCTTTCTGCCATTCTGTATAGACCACATGTGCTGGGTGGCTTGTGTCTTGCCCTGACACAGAATTTGGCTGGCTCTTCCTATCCATATTCCATGGATTGTGTCAGAACTCGGATTACCCCAGTTTGGGAAAAGTCTACAGAGACTGGGGCAAAAGTGAGGGGTGCTCCACAGTAGCCACGCAGAGCATAGCACACAGAGAGGAGGGAGGCTCCAGCCTGCCAGGTGGCTCCTGCTTGCCTGCTTGGTTCCTAGGTATTGCTTTCTGATATTGCATGCACAATTTTGAGTTGAATTTAAGCAAATTAGGTTTAACGTGAATCAATAGCCATTTCTGAGTTCATTAAAGAGTTCACAGGCCCTGTTTTATGAATCTTTATTGTGTAAGGGAATCCTGACTGCCTCTCTGAGCAGCCTGGAAATACAAACGCTTTTAACAGGACGACCCAACTGCACCTATTTATTAGAGTTTAGTGGGGAACTTAATGCTAAGATCCATTTTTAGACACAGTTTCTTTATCACTTAAAAAAAAAAAAAAAAAGCCCACTGTTGGAAAAGGAGAGCATGAAGCTACAGCCCCATCCTTCAGTTTCTGTCTTTGGAAAACTTAGTCTAAATCAACCAAAGACAAGCTGACTGCAAATTATGCTGAGCTGCAACGAGGTAAGGTCGGCACAGCCCCGTTCCAAGGACCGTTTATCAAACACCACAGACTGACATCCGCTTCCTTCAGATCTAATAGATCACACGATATGAGCAAGAAGAAAAGTGGCATCAAACAAATACCGCCCCCCCCATCACTTTTTGGAATGAAATGCAGAAGAGGAGCCCCTCTCTGCCCTAGTTCTGTAATCCCCCTAAACTACAGCTGCCCTTGGGAGCGGTACACTCCGGCTTCAGAGAAAAAGAATTAGTGTTTCATTTTCCAAGACTGTCACACCCCACCTTAATGAGCACTTAAAAGAGATGAATGTGCTGGGAATGAAAAGATTTATTTGAGATATTTAAATAATCTCTCTCAGCTATAACTAAGCTGACACCCTCGGCTCTCACAATGATATTTTTCTGTTATTTTTGATAATATCCAATAGAAGTTTGTTGCCTGCCATGCCTTTGTGTAGAGCATTCCTGGCGTGTGGGAGCTTATAAGGAAAGTGACAGAAATAATGCAGATGGAGATGCCTTCACCCCTCCGTGATGATCAGGCCAATTAAGACATTTCATTACATTTCCCAACGTAAACAGCAAAATAAATATCTCGTTAATTTTTTTTAAAAAAAATTAATAGTACAACAGCTCTTGCATACTTTACAGCACACTAAAAATCCTTGTGAGTTATGGTGCCGTCCGTTACAATCAGCCATGAAGTACATTACAAAGGTAATGTGGGTTTAAGAAGGAACTACTGCAGAATGTATATTTTCATTATCAAAAACGTTAAGCCATTTATCCTGAGGAGTCAGAATAATCATTAATGGCTG